TGTTATATTTATTTATTATTTTTTATCAATTGTAATGCACCTGTCAGAAATGAAGTTTTTATTAGCGTCACACTGCTACATTATTCACAAAGTATTGCTAGAAATTTTTAAAAAAAATTAAAAAATGAATTAGCGGGACTCATTCTAAAAATTCTGGCAATATCCGTACAATATAACAATGCATGGGTTCATTCACTTGACCTTGCAATAATCAATTAATCAACAGCTTATTTTCCCCATTAAAGTCATTGTAGTTTATGCCTATGTTAAGCGTGTTTACATGTAGGTCGTTTAAATAGCTATAAAAATAGGTATTGATGCATTGTATCTTCATGGGAGTGACTCCTGGACCAGCATATTTTAAATAAAATTTTAACAGTTTTCAAGACCTCTGCACCTTACTGTTATATTATCTGTCCCTTTCCCTAGTGCAACAACGTCTTAATTAATCGCTATTATATACCAAATTAGTAGATGCTCAGCAAAACCAATGATTCAGAAGTCTAATGCTTTGTTTTATGATGCCTACATCATACATCTGAACATTGTATTAATTTATATATGGCACACATTGCAGTTATAGTGCACAAGTTACAGTGGCATTTTTTTTTAAAATTTCATTTGAGAATAGTACGGGCTTCGAGAATACTTGTATATTCACATAAATATATTGAGACGCCACCCGTGGACTATGAAATTCACATACAGTTGCATGAGAGTTCACTAACGAACCATCATCGATCATCGACTGAAAATTAAGTAGGTCCGGGCACGATTATACGACGGCGTGACGACAAAGAAGCAAAGGCGCAATGGTGCGATGATGATTTTGTGATATTACGGTGGAGCGATATTGAACAACATCGTCATCCTACATGTACACTGTACCATCACAGCATCGTCATCGCGGCACTATCGAGTCGCTATTGCACCATCGCTTCATCAAATGTCATCGCATCATCGATCGCCATCGCATTGTCACACCTCCACGCAAATCACTGAGTTAATTATCGTACCATCGCCATAGCATCGCTAAAAATTTATTGTAATCGCACTTTCGACAGAAACCTCGATGGTGCCGTGATGCGATAGCGAATTATACGTACATGGTCCTATCCGGATTTCATACTTATGAGGGTTTTTTTTTTCCTTGAAAAGCAATCTGTCATTTTCATACTAACATGCCGCGATGAATATCCAAGAGCAGCTAGGGTCAGGGGCGTGGGCATCATTAAACCGCAGCTGGCTGAAAGGATTACTACAAATGACCGGCTCTAACAATCCTTGCCCCAGGATCATGGAATAATTTGGCCTTCGGTCGAAATATGAATAGCGCCCAAATATAAACTGATGCATCTAAAGGTCAAGCAGACAAAAATAGTTTTTTTTTCTAAAGATAGCATCACCAAAATGCTTAATATTTTGAGTTCAAGTTCAGTTTCCCATCAGTTAGTAGAATTATAATAGCGTCTTATAGATGATAAAATTTTGTAAATGTATTCTGATCCTGTTTCAAGTCTGCTTAATAATTTATAATTCTGAGGGTCCAGGGTCATAACAGAAGAACGGTGGATTTGGTCAACAGCATTTGTTATAAATAGTCGCAATACAGAACATATGACAATTTGATTCGGATGCTGACGATATGCCTTAAACCCCTTCCCCTCATTCCCGACTTACAAATCCTACCCCCCCCCCCACCTCCCCATATTAGGGACACTAAGTATACAATCTATCTATTTATTTCTCAATTTATTTCTCAGAGCATAGTTTTCCTTTCTTGCATAACTTTGCTCCATTCACTCATGACTTGACTTTTCGCGGTCTATACAACTGTTCTATATTTTTGTCGTTTTGCGAATAAATGTTATCTTTGAAGCAAAAATCAAGTCAAGTAAATATTATCCTTCACGTGTAAAGTTGAATGATCTTTGGTGGTTTACTTGTTACCGTAGAAATTCAACCTAATTCAAACAAACTTAATTTCTACAAAATTTAATCAAATATATAAACATTTTAAGTGCTTGTCAATTTCACTCATTAGGCGGCATCCTCGTGTAATATATTCTTAGTAAATATTCCAATAAAATATTTTTAAATGACCATTTCAAATATTTTGTTTTCCCCATTAAGAACTGTGTTTATTGAAAATAAATCAATAATAAGGAACAGCATGTATATCTTTGGTAGTTCGGTTCTCATCAAAAATGCATGGGTTTAATATATTGCAATTGAATACAGAGAATACCAAATTCAATTGGGTGTGTTAAATTTTTTTACTTTACGCATATAAACATGAATCTTTTACGAATATTTCTTCAGAACTTATGACTTTGCATAGACCTAAATGAATAATTTGTTACCAAAATCTTCATATAAAGTGATATTTATAGTTTCAAAACTTAAAAACGTAATTTAAAGAACTTGAAAAAAATGACCTCTTTATCCCTAATCAAAACAAAACAGATAAATCCTTCAATTTAAAAGTACGTCGACCAAACTGACATTATCCCCAATGCTCATGCGACATCATGAACTGTCCCTTTTTTACCTTGATCCATCAATGAGTTTGAAAACATTGTCCCAAATATTTCTACTAAATAATATTGTCAAGATCAAATTAAAGTGCATAAAGGTAGAAAATCCTCCTTGTGCAATATACCTCGTATATAAAATACCGGGGGTATTCGGAAATGGAATGTTATTTGTTTTGAACCATATTGTAGGACGCTGACATCCAAGAAAGGTGGTCCAAAAAAAAGCTGTAAACCTGCTTGATATTAAAGAATTATATCTTTTTCTCTCTTTAAATTTTAATTCAATTCAATTATAGTGATTTACAATATAAATCTTGTAAATTGGATCATGGATTATAACACAAAAAAAATCATTGCCTCTTCTTGTCTGCATATTATCCAGAAAATGTAATTTACAATCCTGCAGACAATTCTGAATTGTTTTAATCGTACACGTACATGTACCTCTCAAAATTGTTAATATACCGGTATAAAGCTTTCTTTAAATAAATCTAACATTCACTGTAATTTTTGTTCTGAACTCTCATAAAAATCTATATTGGACCACTGAAATATTGCACCTATCTATGACCTATTTGACCGCTTTGATAATTTTTATGACCTACTTTAGGTGCATGTTGCCCTCAAACCTAGTCAATGATTGAGTTAGGGCAATATGTTGGTTTCATCGGACCTAAAAACCAAACTGATTGCCTGAGGCCGTTAGACAGAAGGCAAACAGATTGGTTCCAGGGATCGACAAAACGCATTATGTCCAAGAACACATGCAGTAAATAAATGTTTTAATTGTTACATTGTATGCCAGCTTACAGGTATATGATTGAAAAGATATGGGTGTTCCCGTCTATAGTGTGACGTAAACAGTAGCAGTCAAATATTTCTTAAAAAGGTACTTTCTTTTTCATTTCAACAGTCCATGCAGCAGTAGTTTTAGAAATTCTTTTTTTTTCAATTTTAGCATGGAAAATCAAAATGGGTCAAATTTTACAAATAATTTTTGAATTAGTTATTTAAAGGAAAAGATATTTAGATGTTTAAAAAATCAGCAGTAACAAGCGTGGAGGCTTGAGATTTTCAGTTTGGGAAAGATTGATACCGAACAAAAATAAAATTTAAAAATTTTGATTACTAAATACTTTTGGTAATTGTACTTTTTCTTTAAGGTAACGACAATATTGATAATACATGTATGATTCAAGTGTTACAATTTATTGCAAAAAGGGAACACTGCTAAACTGAGCACTACTCTATGCACTGACGTCTGATTCTGACTGCTTATAAACCTCATCAATAAGGGGAAAAAGAACACAATGTAACAAAAAAACTTTATTCCTCGTATTCTGAATACTACAGTAAATTCTTATAAATATGCAAAAATAACTACCCCTTTTAAGAGAATAAATAAATAAAACAGTTATTAATACCTTCCGAATGCGCCAAAGAAGTTGGATGGAGTGCATTTGATCAAATAATTTTTCTTGTCTATTTTCCTGCGTGTTTGTTCACTCAAAAGAGACCTCTCGTTTAAATTTTGGCATAAGTTGGACGATCGGTTAAACTTTAAAGCGGATAAGGCTAAAGGCATGAATATTGGAATTATATTATGAGTACCGTTGTTTTGCATATACTTTTTATTTAGCGATTGATTACACAGTAAACTACAGTATCTAGGAATTTTTCCGATTGTCCGACCTTGAGAGGGATCACACGGCTGGTGTGACCGTTCAACAGGGGATACTTCTCCATGCGTGGCACCAGATCACATCTTGATCTCGCACAAGTCTCGCAAACATGCATCCTTGGCATTCAGCCACATTTATCACTATGCAAGAAAGCTTAAAGAATACAGTTGTAAATGTATAAAATGTTTTCATAATTATTCGTTTTAATTACGTTCCACATGTATATTTGTCTACTTTACTATAGAAGACTGCAACTTTTTGGAGAAAAAAATCAAATAATGATGTGATGAGATTTTCAACTTAGGAAAGTCAATGACTGACGTTGTTAGGTATACAGAGGGCATTCTGCCACGTATGTTTACCAACAATTCATCTGCTGGAACATTGCATGTCAAGGATGCGATTTCTTTACATCAACATAAACAATAATTGCGACTTAGGTCAACATACTCTGGAATTTAAAGAATTTTTTTTTGCATAAAGCAAAGAAATAAGCACATTTGCTTCTGATAATGTTCTCTTTTATGCTAACTGATTCAGTATGATTCGCGTGCTGAAGTATTTTTGGAATCTGTAACAAATGGAGCACGTGCTATTGTTGTGACCCACTTTATTCCTATAATTTGAGAGTGCTCCAAATGAATCTATTAATTAGTACTTACTGAAAGCATGAACACTTTCTCAGTAACAGTAACTACTTGATATTGGTTAAGTTTATAAGGTTTCTAGGCAAAAAAAAACCATGGATAAGGAGATTTTTCTTTGCTAAAACCAGTGTCCCCTGAATATTAACAGATACAGGAAGATCCCAGGAGATGTGTGTGTGGGAGGGTTTTCTCCATCGGGGCGACAGATAGACATGTCCATACAATGCTCCGAGGATTCCAAAGAACTTGTACTGGAGGAAATTACCTACAAGAAGGTACATGTATTACGTGATGGTAGGGTACATAACAGTGACCAGTATAGGTTAGGTAATGCAAAGTTAATTCCTTGGTTTTTCAGGCCATTTTTTAAAAAAATGACGAGGGAGGGCAGCATTTTAAGAAAACTTTTTTATTGCCCGCAAAACATGCTGAGGCAGCTTTTTACATTGGAAAATACCTCAAAAATGTTGAGGGAGGTGATTTGTTGTTTTTATCATATTGATTTAGCAGTAAAAAGGGTCAATGAGGCACCCTTGGAAGAGATGAGGGAGGGCCTGAGAACCAAGAAGTTAATTTTTGTGGCCTTAGGCTAAATATACAGGTATACAGTGGACCCTCATTTATCCGGACGCTTTGATTCCCAGTCCATTTGTCCAGATATGTTAAGCATCCGGATATCTGAATCACCAATTAAACAAGACAACACAGCATTTAAAAATTTCGTTCCGATGAAAAATCGTCCGGATACTGAAGCATCCGGATATCTGGCGTCCGGATATCTGAAGGTCCACTGTACTATAAAGGCATTATAAGGAAGGGAAAACTCAATAGAGGGTGACAAAGAAAAAAACAAAACAGAGGAGAGAGAAATTGCACCCCAAAAGCAATAGAAAAAAGATTTTTTTTTTGCATGACTTTTATTTGCCTGACCCCTTTTGGACACTGTAGATTCAATCCTGTTCCTTATTCACAACAGGTTGTAATTCTGTGGCACATTAAACACGAGTATGTTAAGGAAGCATATAAATCATTTCTTGGGAAATTAAGACTTTTAAAAGAAAATTTAATTAGATAATTTACCAAAAGCACTGATAAACGTAAACCTTGGTTGACTATTGCCTAAAGATAAAAGAGTGTCTAACGCAATGACGTGCGCCACCACCACGGCATCACGTGATTTCTATTAATAGCGAAATGTTCCTTAATAAAAAAATAACAGAACAACAATACCCGGAGTTTAATAACTTCTATGAGTAAATAATTTAGTTGAAAAACATCTATTTTGCCTAAAAAGTGCTGTTAGAATCCCACTGTCCTGTTAGTAAAATAATTATAACACACATTCGCACGAAACCTTGCCCTACGTTTTGTATTTTACACATATGAACCGAGAATTTTCGTAAAACCATGCTTAACTTGGGATTCTAGCAGCACTTTCAAAGTATTTTAGAAGGCTAACTTTCCATCTGTACAAATCTTATGTTTTGAAATATCCAGCTTATTGTTGTTCTATGGCATTATTTTTTGTCACGAATGACCGAGGAAAGGCGGACTAGGATACAGATATAGCTGACTGTCCTCGAAAGAGAATATAATTAATGAAAATAAATTAGCATACCTGTTTATTTAACTGGACTCCGTATGAATTTCACATATTCCCGATATATGCTTTTAAACTCCATTTAACATATCTTTGTACATGCAGTATAAGCCAAATTCTCTTTACACTACATGATCAATTCCTGAGTTACTCGAAGTAAACATATGACGTCATCGTTGTTAGATTTTCATCAAATTGACAGATACAGCATAACAAAATAAAAACATCTTATTTTGTTAATCCTTACATGTTTCAATTTATTTCTTAGAGTTAATTTACATCTCTAAATACCAATACTACGAAAACCTGTGTTTTAAAATTGACGTCATCTCACCCACTATGACTTCATAATGTTTCACTGACTTAGTCAAGGTAGAATATTCTGTATGCTTCCTTATCACCCCTGCCAACTTAAAAATTTTTAATCCAGAGTTTATAACAGATAACACTGACATTTTTTTTATGCTTTTATCTCAAAGAGACAAAAATGTTTTAAAGATTATTTTACAATACATTATATTAAATTATATAAATTGATAATTCTAAAATCAGAAAATAATTTTTTTTTCTCGTATTATTTAGAATGTCATTTTTAGACTTGATTTATAACCTTGGACCTTTGACCTTGTAGGAGTCGGGAGGTCACAATAGCAGTGTGATAGCGGCGGTGGTGATCATTGTCGTGTTGTTAGTTGTTATCATGGGTGTCTTCCTAGTCCACAAATACATAATACTCAGGCGACAGTGAGTATCCACAAATATATAATACTCAGGCGTCAGTGAGTATCCACTAATACATAATACTCAGGCGACAGTGAGTATCCACAAATACATCATACTCAGGTGACAGTGAGTATCCACAAATACATATTACTCAGGCGACAGTGAGTATACACAAATACATCATACTCAGGCGACAGTGAGTATACATAAAATAATACAGAATACTGTAAAATCACAAATTTTTGAGGTTTGAGGAAAAATATTGGTTTGTGGGGATTTGATTTCGTGGTTGGAGAATGTTTAGTAAGTAATGCATATGAAATTTTACATTTCATGGTGGTCTTAAATTTGTGGGTCTCTCAATACCTCGAAAACAACGAAAATTAAACTTCCACAAAAATTAGTGATTTCACAGTAATTCGGTTACAGTAAGAACAGTGTTCATTATTTCACTATCCCTGTTTTGTGTTGTAGCCGCGTAGTGTACAGATATTCCCTGCTGTAATTTTAATTGAGTGACATTAAGCTGTGGATGTTTTGTGTTGTAGCCGCGTGGTGTACAGATATTCCCTGTTGAATCAGAACGACGCGGAGCAGTATGATAATGAGTTTGAGACCGCAATATCTACCACATCCGCCACGGTATACCACGACTCAGATGACGACGAGGTTAGTGGCGTCCTGTCGATATACAGTAAAACTCGGATATAATGAAGTCACTGGGACCTTGAAATTACTATGCTATATCTGTAATTTGTTATAGCCGTATAAGGAATTCATTAAATTGATATAGCTGGGGATCCAAGATAACTTCGCTATATCCATGAATTCTTAATATCCAAGTTCATACTTTAATTACAAATTTTACTGTAATTTTTTACTTGAGTGGAGTTTTCCCATTCATGATCTTGAGCAAAATTGTTTTTTACTGACAGAAAAAAAATTTTCTCGTCATTAGGTCACCTGAGTAAACTCAGGTGACCTATTGCTATCTGTTTTCGTCCGTCGTCGTGCGTCGTCCGTCGGGCGTTAACATTTGAACATTTTCAGCTTCTTCTCTGCAACCACTGAACCAATTTCAACCAAATTTGGCACAAAGCATCTATGGGTGAAGGGGAACAAAAATTGTGAATTTCATGATCCCTGCCCCCCTGGGGCCGGAGGGGTGGGGCCAAAACCACTAAAATTAATGCAATCTTTAAAAATCTTCTTCTTTACTCCTGGACATCAAGCAGTCAAACTGTTTGCATGATTGTAATCAGCAATGAGTCCTCTACCAAAATTGTGAAATTCATGGCCCTGGGGTCAGGGGTTCTAGTTCTAGGGTGGGGCTAAATAAGTAGGTAGTGAAAATGCATTATTTCTTTGAAAATCTTCTTCTCTGCTCCTGGGTATTAAATAAACCAACTCAGTACATAGTTATGATGAGCAAGAGTGCCTCTAACAAAATTGTGAATTTTATGGCCCCAGGGTCAGGGGTTCTGGTGTTAGGGTGGGGCTCTATTGATTATATAGTGAAAATACATGAATTCTTTGAAAATCTTCTTCTCTGCTCCTGGGTATTAAATAAACTAACTAAGTACATAGTTATGATGAGCAAGAGTGCCTCTACCAAAATTGTGAATTTTATGGCCCCAGGGTCAGGGGTTCTTGTTTTAGGGTGGGGCTCTAATGATTATATAGTGAAATGCATGATTTCTTTGAACATCTTATCCTTTGCTCCTGGTTAATATGCTAATGATCTAATTACATATTTAAGGCCAGGATTTTTTTTATTTTCAGTTTTACAAACCCTCCGCTCAAGGTTTTGAGTTTTCAGAAAAAAAAAAAAAATTTCTTTCCAATGTCAAATTTGAGTCGGGATCGAGATTTCAAATTTACGAACTCGCACTTCCAGTTTTAAGATGAAACGGCGGGTAAATAGGACACAGACTACCAATTATTTTGCTATACATTCCTTTATAATATAAAAAATGATTAAAAAAATTACACCAGCTCAACTTACCTGAAACTTGGCACAGAGTTAGAAGAATTCAAGTCCAAAAATTTTTCAGACTCTCAGGAAAATTCATCGCATGCAGTTTCTGCTAAGGCATCGCAAATAACCCCTACCCTGCTTTTTTCACTTTCTCTTCGGGGAAAGGGTAAATATGGGCCTCTTTACACCCTTCCTACTACGCGCTTAAGTGCAAAATTTCACATATTAACAATTTTATATTTTTTTTCAAACCCTCTCCTTTCCATCTATACCCAAAAATAACATCAGTCCACTCCATAAACACCCCAAAGAATTTTTAAGAAAAAACCTCTATTTTTAAACTGGAACTACTTGAGTGGTCAATGAAATAGGGGTAAAATTAGTAGTCTGTAACCTAATAAGGACACAAACCTTGTCTGATTTTGCTGAAATTTGACATGCTGGAGTCTTTTGTATCTACAAAGTGGCCGGTGAAGTTTCATTGAAATTGATGATTCCTAAGTAGAGTTATGGCCCTTTAATTGATGTGCTGGAACACCTTAAATCAGAGTGTAAAATAAGCATTGGGCACACAGTTCTCAGATTTGAAATGCTCACAGCTCACATGCATGACAGTTATTTTCTTTCCTTATATTTTTGTATACTAGATAAATATGTCCTACACAAATTTCAAGAACAAAACTTAACCTATTGCATAAGTAAATATTTTAAACAATTTTTCAAAGAAATACCTTCAGAAAGCATAAAATTCTTGGAAATATTAAAAATAAAAATATTTAGCACATTTTAATTTTAGTAAAACAAATATTAAAAAATTCTACAATATATAGGCTATAAAAAATTAGTATAAAAGTTAAGGGAAAGGGATTGTTATAAGCAGATTATCCAACCTGGTCAATTCAGCCTCTGTCAGGAAGTGGTACTTACTACTCTAATTGGATTATCCCTGGTCATATTTAGACTTCTTTGATGGGTATTTCTTGTAACAATATGCATTATTAGATAATAAATACCAAAAATTCTGTGAAATTTTGGATTTTATAATTCTGAATTTACAAGAAAAGGAATTTATATATGCATTTTACCTACATACATTCTTCAGGCTGCTGTAAGAAAAGGGGAGGCAACTCTGCACTGTAAAGGTACCAAAAAAAAACAAAATGATTAAAAAGCATGTCTATATACTTTCAATGGTTCAGCATAGAAAATACATACCATGCCTGTGTCACCTATAATCACTCCTGGAGATGCTTGGAAGCTAGAACGGGGGGGGGGGGGGGGGGGGGGGGGGGGGGGGGGGGGGTGGGGGGGGGGGGGGGGGGTGTAGAGAAGGTTCTATTAAAATGGAGTACATAAATTCTGTCTTTCTTGTGTATCACTATTTCTGCACAGTGTTTATCCAAAATCTTGAAAACACATGTCCTTGTCAAAAAATGATGATTTTGTCTGATATGCGACCACCGACAATGATGTCCAAGATGCCACAAGAGTAGAAGAAGTCAGTAGGACCAAACATCCCATATGAAATGTTGAGCACCTTACTGACCTCCCCTGTCTTGGACAATCACAGATCAGTGCCAGCAATCAGACAGCAGATATTCAATTCCAAAAGAAGAAGGAAAAAGAGAAAGTTTCAGAGAGTACACATTGATTGGCAAGAGATGATGATGACAGATGAAAACAGTGTAAAAAAGAAATCAAACACAAAAAAATAATACAAACTTAAGAGTCAGTTGACTATATACCTTTAACTTGGCTGTTGTGGACTGTAATATTGTTGACAGCTGTATCTTGTTTTCTGAATGATCATTGTCTCTGCTACTGGTACAAAATTGTTCACTTCTGACTGGCAACTGGCCTGATTTTTTATGAAGCCACCCATCCAGGCTATAACTGTTTGCAATCCCACATCAGTCAGGTAGAAATGAGCCACTGAAAAAAATTTTTTTAAGAATTTCAACTTTAGTTCACATTCATGATTAATAAGTAATTGTGTCAAATTAATAAGTAACTGTGTCAACTATAATTACAGACACCAAGTAGCCAAAGTTTTGAGAAATTAGGCATTACTTTCCTATTAACAACAGTGTAATCTGAACAATCAAATGTTTAAAACATACCTTGGTTTTTGAACTCCATTTGGCATTTAAAAAAGCAGTATAGGCGAGGAATGGGTTTTATGTCACCTACAACATTATATATAGAATCAAAATTCATATTGCATAAATATTGTTGACACACATCAATTGCACACATTACGTCATACCTTTGACTAGCTGAGCAGGTGCCCCCTCCCCCTTTTCAATTATTTAAATCCATTTAACTTCTCCAAAATACAATTTTTTCCATAAAATTTGTCAACAATTTGCATAATTAGTTCCAAATTATCCAAAAAGTGCCAATAAATTGATTAACGTGAGATTTGACCTTTGACCTCATAGGACACAGACTACCAATTATTTTGCTATACATTCCTTTATAATATAAAAAATGATTAAAAAAATTACACCAGCTCAACTTACCTGAAACTTGGCACAGAGTTAGAAGAATTCAAGTCCAAAAATTTTTCAGACTCTCAGGAAAATTCATCGCATGCAGTTTCTGCTAAGGCATCGCAAATAACCCCTACCCTGCTTTTTTCACTTTCTCTTCGGGGAAAGGGTAAATATGGGCCTCTTTACACCCTTCCTGCTACGCGCTTAAGTGCAAAATTTCACATATTAACAATTTTATATTTTTTTTCAAACCCTCTCCTTTCCATCTATACCCAAAAATAACATCAGTCCACTCCATAAACACCCCAAAGAATTTTTAAGAAAAAACCTCTATTTTTAAACTGGAACTACTTGAGTGGTCAATGAAATAGGGGTAAAATTAGTAGTCTGTAACCAATAAAGCTAGAACTGAGAAGATACCTTGGTTTAGTGTAAAATTCATCGATACGAGTGCCATTCAAAACGTTTCACCCGTTCAAAGGACAAAAAAAATGCTGACGACTTTGTTGCACAATGACATGCTGGTGAGATAATTATGTATTCGTTTCAAAAGTATCTGTCTGTAAATTATTTTCCTCCCCCAGGTTTTAAACTGCCCGTGGTAGCTATTGCATATGTTTAGGTCTCTGTTATAGCTTACAGTCTAAGCATCATTCATTAGAAAATGGTTGCTTATGCATCAGATGTAATGAATAAAACTATGGGAGAAGTTAAGTCCATTTGAGGAAGAAATAAACAATAACCTGAAGAAATAAAAAAAAAAATCAACTATCAAAAGGCAAGAATATACAAATATATACAGGCATGTAGTATCATCTGTATCAGCCAGAAAAATTATTTTACACTTAATTGAAAAAAAAATGTTCCCCAATACTCCCTGTCTGTTTTATGATAGGAATTATAATTTTAGGCATCAAGTAAATTTTAGAACAATGTCTACACATTCACCTAACACATATTCAAAAAATGAAGATATATTGAAAGACTTTTAAAGAATTGATTTTTAAAAATATATTTTGACCAACATCACAAAATTTATATAACTTGCCCAGACTGGCAGATGATGAAATAAGCAATTAAATGTTCTACTTTCCTATTGTAAGCATTATGTGTCCAGTGGTAAGGAGCCTATTAGAATAGCATAAAAAAAGAATGAACAAATGTTAATAATTGATTTATCAAAAAAAAAATTTTTTTCCTTCTCCTTCGAGACTTTTTTATTCTCATGTTCATAACTAAACCTAAACATAAAAAAAAAATGCTGGCCTTATAATGAAGAAAGGGGCCTCTTTCAAAATAGATAATTTCAGGGCCGCTGGGTCAGGGGTCCCAGGGAGGTACTTTGACTAAAAATAAATTAATGCTTTGAAATCTGCCCTTTGATAAGCAATGGTGCCTCCTTCAAAATTTGTGAATTTCATGGCTTTTGGATTAAAACACTAGCCAAATACAATCGCTGGAAAGTTGTTACATGATACTCAGGTGACCTATAAGGCCCGTGGGCCTCTTGTTTTGTGAATATTTTTAAAAACTAAGCTCCAGTTAAATGCAACACGTCTTCCATCTGTTTTTCAGGAGCTGAATTCTCCTGCCGTCAGGAAAGAGAAGAATATGTACGGAAGTACGGCAGGGAGCCAGTCCAGTTCAAATCACACACGGGTTAAATCGTATCACGATGATTCAGATGTAGTAAGTACAGGACAGCTTAGTCAGTCAGAAATGTACAATTCTAAAAGATGTACGCATCAAAATTAATTTAAACAATCATGGCAACAGCCAACTCAGTCAGAAATGTACAATTTTATTAGACGTTAATGTCAAAATCTAATAAAGACTATAATGACAATAGCTAAGTCAGTTAGAAATGTACAGCTCTAAAAGACACACACTTTAAAAAAGAAAATCTAATAAGACTAAGTTAGTTAGAAATGTACAATTCTAAAAGACAAAAACATCAAAATCAAGTAAGACAATCATGGCAACATCTAATTCAGTTAGAAATGTACAAATCTGAAAGACATTCACGTCAAAATTAACTCACTGCTATATTTTTTTTTTACAGGATATGTTAGAATAAATTCTAGGAGAAATTGATTCCACTCCGACATTCCTTTTACACAACAACTGCTGTTTTGTTTTTTCCTGATGTTTTTTTTTAACAACTGTATTTCATGTGTGGAATGGTTGTTTCAAAAAAAAATTCTGATGGATTAGAAAAAAAAAATCTTTATAAAAGTCTTCTGAAGTAATGCTTAAAAATAATCAGCTGCATTAGTGAGAAAAGGGAGGACTCTACATTTATGAAAAATACTTCTTGTCTCTCAATTATACTGTCTTATGCCACTCTGTTCGAAGACATCACATGAAGAAGGAAATTTTTAAAATAAGACTGACGAGTGTTTTCCCTAAGTCTTCACATATATGTCATACAGGTTTGTTCTCAATCCTGCTCAAGAATCGGGATGGATAAAGATGACGCTTTTTTAAAATCTGTGTTTCGTCGTGTAAATCTGTACCAGCACGTCTCTAGAGTTAACGTTTACAGAGTAGTGAACAAGAATGGTTTGTTATTCTGTGTATACAAGGTGGAGTGTTTGTATTCTGTGAAGAATCGGTGTGACAACAGTTTTGTTATTCCTTTATTTTCATGAGGTTTATTGGGTGTACAAAGTTTATACTTTATTTATAGTTTAGGTGTTAGTAAGTTATTTATAAATCATTCTATTTACATGTGATATGGTTTCTTACTTGTTGTCGTGTATATTTCTTTTCTCTTATTTCGGTGTTAGAGAGAGAGAGAGAGCATCTAGATTTTTTATAAGTCTATGACATTACATGTACAACTAGCAATCTCCTTGAATGTAAAGTTTTGGGTAGTAGTTTAGTATCGAAGAAATTATCTTCAGAATTTTTCAGTTTAAAGTATACTATCATTCATAATTGTACATAATAATGAATTCTATTTTCTTTTCTTTTTTCAGTATTTAGACTTAGCAATAACAATGTTCCGTTCATGAAATGATTTGATATTGACTTTGTGTTTTGTATGCAGGTTTGATGTTGAGTTTGTTTATTGTATACAGAACTTCACAGTAGGTTAGAGGATGAATGAAATGTTATACATTTCTTTGGATCTCATTACTGTACATATCTCTCTTTCTGATTTTTCTTAACATTTTTTCAATGACTTATATTAATGTTCTTCTTTAAGTAAATATCTCCTTTGACCTTATATAACATCCCACTTCTAACATAAATTTGACGAACTCCTAATTTGTATACTAACCAACTTTGTATTTTAACCAAGCTTTTTCATGTTGGGTCACTTGTTCATCTACTAAGATTCAAAGCTCAGCAGATAAATTTGTATTGTTTGTTTGTTTGAATTATTTGCATAGCACTGTTGGCATCTTTTGATTGACATATAAAAATTCACACAAAAAGGGGAGCAGTTAAGTAGCAATTTAGCAGTAGAGGCAATTATACTATGCATAATGTAGTGGAAAATAGAATAAAAGTAAAATCTCTTTCTGAAAGTGTGAGCTTGTGATAGGTATGAGTATTGTATATATGTTTTGCACATTTGTTTATATTTCTTAATGATTTGGAAACATTTATAATTTGTGATTTACATTAATTTGGCAAGTCTTGACACAGTCAACAGTATACACTGTATTGATTTCTTTTAAATGAATGAATTGTACATCATTCCATGTTTTCATTATTGCAGTGTTAGCTTTAATGTGGCACATTATGAGATTTTCAGAAAGTTATGTTTTGATAAAAAGAATTATGTTATGAAAGGGAAAAGAGTAGTTATTTTGTTGTTTGATGCGTTTCCCTCCCCTACCCCCCCCCCCCCCCCCTCCCCCTTTTTCCTTTTTTTTTAATGAAGATTGTGTATTTGAGGTCAATGTGAAAGTGAAAGTTAACGTGAGTGAGTTCAGTACTGATATTAAGAAGTGTGTTAGTTGGTAAGGTGCCACTCTACAGAAATCCAGAGTCTGGTCCGCGGTCCAGTCTAACTTTAAGATACAGACCAGGCCTTCTGTCTAATGTTAGAGGTGTATGTTAACTGAGATTTCTTGTTTCATATGATCAAGGTCTTCTTGTTATCTTTTCAATAATAAATATTTATTATTATGAATTTATCTTATTTTTTTTTTCACTGCAACTTACAGTTGGTGTAATTAGTCATATATATATAGATTCGTTTAGAATTTCATGTGTTTGATAATGTGAAAATATACAAATAATATTATTGGTTTTTAGCTCACCTGAGCCGAAGGCTCAAGTGAGCTTTTCTGATCAAAATTTGTCCGTTGTCTGTCGTCGTTGTCGTTGTCGTTGTTGTCATCGTAAACTTTTCAAATTTTCATCTTCTTCTCAAGAACCACTGGGCCAATTTCAACCAAACTTAATACAAAGTATCCTTGGGTGAAGGGGATTCAAGTTTGTTCAAATGAAGGGCCATGCCCTTTTCCAAGGGGAGATAATCATGAATTTGTTAAAAATTAATGGCAATTTTAAAAAATCTTCTTCTCCAGAACCACTGGGCCAGGAAAGATGAAACTCATGTGGAATCATCCTCAGGTAGTGTAGATTCAAGTTTGTTCAAATCATGACCCCCGGGGCAAGGGTGGGGCCAAAATGGCCGACCCAAGTTTTACATAGGAATGTATAGGAAAAATCTTTAAAAATCTTCTTCTCCAGAACCACTGGTCCAGGAAAGATGAAACTCATGTGGAATCATCCTCAGGTAGTGTAGATTCAAGTTTGTTCAAATCATGACCCCAGGGCTAGGGTGGGGCCAAAATGGCCGACCCAAGTTTTACATAGGAATATATTGGAAAAATCTTTAAAAATCTTCTTCTCCAGAACCACTGGTCCAGGAAAGATGAAACTCATGTGGAATCATCCTCAGGTAGTGTAGATTCAAGCTTGTTCAAATCATGACCCCCGGGGCTAGGATGGGGCCAAAATGGCCGACCCAAGTTTTACATAGGAATATATTGGAAAAATCTTTAAAAATCTTCTTCTCCAGAACCACTGGTTCAGGAAAGATGAAACTCATGTGGAATCATCCTCAGGTAGTGTAGATTCAAGCTTGTTCAAATCATGATCCCCGGGGCAAGGACGGGGCCAAAATGGTCGACCCAAGTTTTACATAGGAATATATAGGAAAAATCTTTAAAAATCTTCTTCTCCAGAACCACATGGCCAGGAAAGATGAAACTCTTGTGGAATCATCCTCAGGTAGTGTAGATTCAAATTTGTTCAAATGATGACCCCCGGGGCAAGGGTGGGGCCAAAATGGCCGACCCAAGTTTTACATAGGAATATATAGGAAAAATCTTTAAAAATCTTTTTCTCCAGAACCACTGGGCCAGGAAAGATTAAACTTATGTGGAATCATCCTCAGGTAGTGTAGATTCAAGTTTGTTCAAATCATGACCCCGGGGCAAGGGTGGGGCCAAAATGGCCTACCCAAGTTTTACATAGGAATATATGAGAAAAATCTTTAAAAATCTTCTTCTCAAGAACCACTAGGCCAGGAAAGATGAAACTCATGTGGAATCATCCTCAGGTAGTGTAGATTCAAGTTTGTTCAAATCATGACCCCCCGGGGCAAGGGTGGGGCCAAAATGGCTGACCCAAGTTTTACATTATATATAGGAAAATTCTTTAAAAATCTTCTCCAGAACCACTGGTCCAGGAAAGATAAAACTCTTGTGGAATCATCCTCAGGTAGTGTAGATTCAAGTTTGTTCAAATGATGACCCCCAGGGCAAGGGTGGGGCCAAAATGGCTGACCCGAGTTTTACATAGGAATATAAAGGGAAATATCTTTAAAAATCCTTCTCCAGAACCACTGGGCCAGGAAAGATGAAACGCATGTGGAATCATCATCAGGTAGTGTAGATTCAAATTTGTTCAAATCATGACCCCCGGGGCTAGGGTGAGGCCAAAATGGCCGACCCAAGTTTTACATAGGGATATATAGGGAAACCTTTTAAAATCTTCTTTTCAAGTACTTCAAAGCTATGATTAGTGATATTTATATGGAATCATCCTCAGGTAGTGTAGATTCTAGTTTGTTCAAATGATGAACGCCTGGAAGGGGGGGGGGGTAAATTCAAGCCCGATGTGCTCAGGTGAGCGCTGTGGCCCCTGGGCCTCTTGTTAGGTGATGAAATTTTTCATTAAATTTACCAGAAAAATATCAATATTGACTGAGATGAAGATATTTTTGTAATGAAATATAACGAGGTTCAAATACTCCAAGGTCAGAAAAATATCCCGAGGCAAAGCCGAATAATACTGGTCGAAGGGAACTGAAAGATATACATATCAATATACACTTTATTAAAAAATCCTGATATCAAACAAATGCGACAGACTATATAGCTTTCTTATTTCTAATTTGCTGCGATATATTGAGTTGACATACGAATCAAAGTCACTATTGCTTTTGATTTCCTCTTAAAACAGTTACAACCAAACAATATGTAGTGACAAATTTACTTAAATCTTGCAATTAATGTGGTTTTTGATCATGAAATTAAATAGAAATCGTTAAAAGCTAGAGAAAGGCAATCATTTAATTATATTCAATACCAGTAAGCCTTGCTTTTAAAAGACTTATCAGATGACCGAATTTTATTTCAGTTATTTATTATAGGAACCTCAATCTTTTGTGACCTTTAGATACTTGTACACAGTGATAATATTACTGGTCTCCTGACCAAGATAGAGGTTGTGTTTGTCATCCAAACACAGAGCACAGGGACGACGAAATCCATCGTCTGACGTCATCAACAGACGTAAGAATCCACCATCTTCATTAAGAAGATGAATACTTGCATCTTTAGACCAACAGTTGCACACCAATGCATGTCCAAAACTATCTGTGCAGATACCACTGGGCTTAAAATGAGACTGGAACTTTTGACCTGTGTAGTTAAACCGATGCTGGCCTGAGCTGTCCACGACTACAACTTGACCCCAGCTTGACGACGTCCAGATGTCCCCGTTCCTGTTCTCTGTGATGTATTGGGGTACGTTTTCATACACCCGCCGTCCATTCCTGTCCTCCTCTATGACCTGTGTCCAGCCGGTACTGTCGTGTCTCGTGACCTTACTGAGAAACTTCCCTTTTGTTGTGCTTGTATATTGAACTAGAAGTATTTCCCCATTTATCCGAGAGTAGTGAATACAATATGGCTTCCATTCTGTCGTAAAAAGTGTGGTAATTTCCCCGTCTTTTGCAATCCGTTTTACTGTGTATTCACTTTGTTCAACAAATAACAGGTCTCCTTCCTCTGTTGTGTGATGAAATCCACTCATTGTGAAGAATTTAGGAATATTATGTAATATCTTTCCATTTTTGTCTATTTGTAATAGCTGGTCACGGTCGTTGTGAACCCATATCCTGTCTGACGTCACAATAGAGATATGACGTACACATTGAGCTCCAGGCACCGTCATGGTTGATATCTGAATCGGGGAAGGAAGAATCGAGAATGTCTTTTCACCGTCCCCTTAAATTCAAATAAAAAATTGTAAAGAAAAAATTCAAACCTTCATCGTATTATTAAAACACGATTTACATTTAACTGACATGGGTAGAAATCTTTTTTATATTGACATCATGTATACATGTTATGATTTGAATGTCTCATCGTTGAAATTTTTAAAGTTCCTGTGCAATGCAAATCAACAATAAAAATATAAAGGTTAAAAACCCCAACCTTTAGACTTTTTAAACTCCATTTTTCATCACTGTGCCCTCGGAGCCCTTTCATACCATTTGATCTAAAAGTAAAGGTACCAGTATATAATTGAAACTGTTATGGCACGTGATTTGTAGGTGTTTCTACGAACAGGATTTTTGAAAATGCTTTTATTTATTTGTAGAAGTTTCAATATGTTAACAGAATAAAATGCTCTCTTCTGGTAACCTATTTAAACTTTGACGTGTATGATCAAACAGTTGACATGATCTGTAAAATCAATGTGAAAACATTAGTCTTATATGGCATATACAGCTCAACGCAGTTTTTAAACTCACATGATTTTTTGCACAAATTAAGGTCACAATATTCTTGCAATAAAATTTAACAAAATCGAACTTCAGCACGAGACATAACCCTTATATGTACGAGGCGTAAAAAAATTTTTATTTATTTTTTTGTTTATATAGATTACCAAAAAATTATGATGCACTTAAATATGATAAATACACATTTACCGAAAATTTCAGCTTAGTGTGTCCATTACTTTTTGAGAAAAACGCTTTGTCCACGATTTTACCGGACAACCCTCGTATTAAATATTTTATGTCAAAGGTATATTCATTATACTAAGTCTTCAACGTCGATGTTTCAAAGGGAACTTTATTAATAAATGGTATGATGTTATATCTGTATGATTCTGCAATAGGTATTTACAAATTAAATCAATCGAGTTTTCTTTGATACTATGAAGTAGAAATTTCCAAACTGACATTTTTAGATGAGTATTTTTCTAAGTACTTTGTACATCTTCCGTCCTCGTCTGAAAAATGACAATGTTGTATAAAGAAAACATGCCAAAAGATATGGGATAATAAAGTATTGTTTATCTTTAAAAATAGCAAATTGTTAATATTGACAAGAAAATTATTTTATTCATTTAAGGTCCTAAACTTTGAAAATTTTGCGGTTGGGAGTATCTTTCATGACGCAAGATTTCAGAAAGTAACCCTGAAAGAATGCCAGCTTTTTAGCATGGAAAGCAGTCGAACAGCTGAGAAATACTGTTTATCATCTTGCGCTTTAGAGTCATATTAATGCACAGAAAATAGAGAAGTTACATGAGCTGCACTGTTTTTGTGTGTCTAGACAAGGCAAAGGACTGCTTTAAAAAGAACAAATACAAAGACAACTGTATTTGACGAGAAACCATGAAAAACCATTTGGGAGCTGTCATAATTTATCATCAAAGAGCATATAAAAGTCCTACTAATTACATTGTATTATGTGTAAATTATGTTATAAGTCAAATCTATTAGTTACAAATCACTTTTAAGTATGTATATATGACCATATAGAATTTGCGAAACATTTACTTTAAACAATATTTATTAATATTCTTGTATCATCAACTTATTTGTTAAAAGCCTGTCGCGTTTTATATATTGTTTTTACGTAGAACGTATATTTACGTATTAAATTTACTGGAAGACATACACCTATGCAGGAAATGTTAATGAATTTTTGCTGTACATGTATGCATATTGGACTTTTGCGAAATACGCTGACTTTAACATTTGACGGTTTACTTTTACACTTGGACAATGTACGAAAGTTCTTTTACGATTTAAATATTTAGCTCAACATTTAAATTAAACAAAAATATAGGGTTTTTCCAGAGCACTCGCACAAATAAGTTACCCTTGAATAAAACGACAATTACAATATCCTCAACTAGCCGACTTCACGTGTCACTGCCCCTTACACCATATCTATTACCAACAGAAAGGTTTTCTTATCTATTATCAATTCTGTACCTCCGTACATGACACGCGTTTAAATGTCAAAGTAAACCGTCAACCATAAAAGTCAGTTCTTCTCGCAAAAGTCCATTCAAAGTCTTCGTTTAGGGATGCTGATTAGCATGTATGACTTCGCACATACATATATAATTAGATGAATATGTTTTACACATAAATAAAAATACATTTATTGTTTATTTAAATCACCACCTGAAAATTTAACCTGTTTTTATTCATAAACGTAAGTAGCGCATGAAGGTGAAAAATTAGAACAACACAGCATGTACAGTTTGACAATAGTTCATCAATAATTATAAAAAATAAAACATGGTACATACCCCTCATTCAGATGTGCATGCGCAGTATCAGAATGATTTTTAAGATATTGATAATACAAGTCTTATCAAAGGTTTTTTGACAAATTCGGTACAGGCTTGTATTGCGTGCAGTTATTAAACAGAGGAAACCATTTAAAGGATTTTTTTAAAAAGATCTAACTTTTGTTTGTTTTGTTGTGAAGTAAATATTACGAACCATTGCATACGGTGTTCGTGCTTTTCTTTATTGGAGGATTCAAAAATCAATATTTAGTCAGTAATTGAATCAATATGTCGAAGCCTAATTATAGCTTTATATTAAAAAATGTCCTAAGTATTGATTGGGAATTTAGCTGCTAACATGTTCTCATAGAAGTACTAGTATCTAATGTACTTGGATGTATATATAAAATTTCATTGGTATATACAAACTATTTTTTTTTGGTGGGGAATATGGCTTGAAATTCATGTAAAAAATATCGAGGTAAATTATTGAAAAGCAAGTTGAGGAAACAAGAAAATCAGCAGTCTCGTTTAAAGTCATCATTTCGTAATTTCTATGGTCTATACTATCACCTTGTCAGCAAATACAATTTATCATTAAGCCAAATTTTGACTGACGTTTTTCATACTTATTGTTAGTTCATTATTTATACACTGAATTGACGACGGATTTTCCTGTTATTTCCCGATCATGACAAGGAGCACACGGCGAGTGTGACCGGTTAGCAGGAAATGCTAACTCCTCCATGGCACCTGATTCCCATCTCTGATGTTTCGGAGGTCAGTGTTTGCTCTGCTCCTATTTTGTATTGTTTTATGTACTTTGATATTGATTACCGTTCGTTATCTCCATATCCTTCATCTATACTGACAGAGGCCAATATATTCTTGCAAATTTCACAAAAATAAATCATAATTAGAGTACAGGTCGTAATTGAAGATGCTTCTGAAAAGTAATCAGTCTTGTGAGTGCATTTAATTTTCATTGTTTCACAGAGAATGTACATGGATAGTGAACTAATTTTATCACCAGACTCATTACGTTTTTGTAGATGTTACACATATATTTTTATCACTATTCACCGACTCAGAGGTCCTATTTAATGTATGTTTCAGTGAGTATATTTACCACATAACTAAGGAAAAGGATATATCACATATACAGATGCATATATTCTTTATGTTCAGATCAGGGCCCTATTGGGCACCAAAAGCAACAATTCAAGCAAGATTTATATAATTTATACGAAAACAGACAATACTTAACATTGAAAGAAATGTTTTAATGTAACATATGCATTAATGCTTTAAATGGCTTGTCAAAACAGTTCACAAACAACAGAAAACTCAGTTTAGACCCAACAACTCATTTTCATGAGAAAAATTGATAGTGTTTATTTATAATATTCATCATTTTCTCTCTTTCTATAACACAATTCAAACATCCAAAAAGTGTGCGTTCTTCATCTAATTCAAGTATATGTAAAATTCCATTTCCTCAAAGTCATGGTTATTTCCTTGGGTGAAGATGAGGAAATGCCGGTAAAACTGGTCTGGGGAAACTTTAAGATATATGACTATAGTAAGTAATATACCCAAATATAACAGGTGCAACAGACTCTGTATCTTTTACTTTGATATATCGAGTTGACATGTGAATTATAATAACTCCTGCTAATCACCTCCTCCAAAAAACAATTACACCCCAAAAATACTTTGTGACAAATTTAAGTCTTGCAAGGTGGCTTTTGGAAATAAATAGAAAATATCAAAAAGGTATAGAAAGGACACCAACCGTCAAACATTCAATCATCCTCGTAATGTCTAGATCATGAGTCAACACCTTGCCGTTGGACCCCTGGCCAATTTCATTCCATATTCTTGGCTGACTGCTGTAATGTCTTCTTTCGGAAAAAAATTCAAATCTTGATTGTTGTTTTCCTATTGGTCAACCAATCTCATTGAGCCATTTTTGACAGGTGCATTTTAGGTGTAAATTGAATCCAATATATCTACATAATCCAACTATTTAGTTAAAGTTTTAATTTGATTGGTCTTCTCAACGAGAGTTATGAATCCTAAAATATCCAGTGAAATATGCCAAAAATCCAAAGCCGCATTGCAAGGATGACATTCAATATGACAAACCTTGATCTAACTCTGACCACGTGACATAATTTCATTTTTATAATTTCATTTTCCGTTAGTTACTAGTATTATACAGAGACCTTAGTTTCCTGAGACTTGCAGATACTTGTACACAGTAATTATGTTATTATTCTCCTGACCGAGATAGAGGTTGTGTTTATCATCAATACAAAGAGCACTGGGACGAAGTAGTCCATCGTCTGACGTCATCAACAGACGTAGGAATTGACCATCCTGATCCAGAAGATGAATACTTGCGCATGCATCATTTGACCAACAGTTGCACACCAATGCATGTCCAAAACTATCTGTGCAGATACCGCTGGGCCTAAAATGAGACTGGAATGTTTGACCTGTGTAGTTAAAGCGATGATGTCCTGAGCTATTTACTACTACGACTTGACCCCCGTATGCCGACGTCCAGATATCCCCATTCCTGTTCTCTGTGATGAATGAGGGTCTGTTTTCATAGAGTCGCCTTCCTCTCTGGTTCACCTTTATGACCTGTGTCCAGCCGGTACTGTCATGTCTCGTGACTTTGCTGAGATATTTTACTTTTGGTGTGAGGAAATGTTGAACTAGAAGTATGTCCCCATTTATCCGAGAGTAGTGAATACAATATGGCTTCCAGTCTGTCGTAAAAAGTGTGATAGTTTCCCCGTTTGAAAACTTTTTGATGTTGTATCCATCTTGATCAACAAATAACAGGTCTCCCTTCTCTGTGGTGTCGTGGAAACCACCATGTGTGAAAGATATAGAAATATTTTGTAATATTTTTCCATCATGGTCTATTTGTAATAGCTCATCACAGTATTTGTGCACGTTTATTCTGTCTGACGTCGCAATAGAGATATGACGTACACAATGAGCTCCAGGCACAATTATGGTCGACAGTTGAATCGGGGAGGGAAGAATCGAGAATGTCTTTTTAACGTCTCCTTTAAAATCAAATGTCAATAATTGTAATAAAAAGAAAATATCAAACGTTTCGTTAAACAAAAACAGGTTTTACATTTTATCTGCGACGTGTGTACAAAAGTGTTTCATATTCAACATTTCAAAAAATATACAAGTTTTGAGTTCAATAATATTTAAGAAATTTAATGTTCCCGTGCAATGCAAATTAACAATCAATACATGCAGCACAATCAATATATGTAGCACATAACACCCCAACCTTTAGACGATTTAACTCCATTTTCATCACTTGACAATCGCTGTCCCTCCATTTTGTCTGATCTAAAAGTGAAGAACGGTATTATTGAGACTGTGTAATGGTGTTGTTTGAATGTTTCAACAAAAGAACTTGTTGATTGAGAATTTATCACTTATAAAGAGATGTCACCATATACATGTACAGAAAAAAGTTCAAATTTTGACCTTTACTCGGAAATCAGGACCATTGAGCAATGAGAGATTTTTATTATGCCACGGTTCTTTAATGTCACATCCGAAAAACCCGCAACTTTTCATTTCAAAAACCGAGTGCTAGGCGAAGGAAACATCTGCTACCCATTTTTATCGACTTGTGTCGCGGCTGACCTCCCGATCACAGAGCGAGGCTCAGCGCTCTTCCGGCTGAACTACCATGAACAATTTTCAACGAAACAAAAAACTTTATATTTTTAAAAGCAGTTTAAAGTTCATAATTCTAGTAATATATTTTTACTTTGACCTTTTTTAAAAAAAAACATTTGAAGGAAACATGTTGCTTTGAGAAGGTACTATAATTTTAAGAGAGTATCAAACGTCTTTAAAACCTGAGTATTACAGTATTGATGAATGAAGTTCTTTATTCAGGATCAAATGAGTATCTTCAAGTCAGTGAAAGAATTGATATGCAATTATACTTGGCCTTTATAATACCCCTTTGCTTATTAAACCAATATCACATAACAGATGTGAGTAAAATTTGAAGATAATTTTTTTTCTCTATATTCTTCATTGAAAACAACATTATATAAAATCGAAGGCAAATTGTCAATTTTGTCCAATTTCTTCGTTTATTTCAATACTTAAACCACTAAAGAGCTTTACTTATATGCAGTTAGAGTGATCTGCCTTTAGAGGTAAAATAAAAAAAAATGTTATTGACAGTTAATTACACATTTTGTAATAAATTTAAATATTTTAGGATTATATAAGACGAAGATTAAGTAACTGAATTCATTATTTTCATTAGTTTTCCAATGTAAGTTAATTGCAGTGATTTCTGCTCACAAATAGTCCATCGTTTTTCAATATATTTCCTGAATTGTTATAAATGAATGAAAAAGTCTCAGTATGTGCACCTTTAAATGATACTGTAAACCAACTTCTATTCGCGTGCGAGACATTTTCGCGAAGTTCGCGACAGCCTCTTCCCCCCGAATATTTCTCGCCGCGAACCAGTCCTTAAAGTCTTTTTGTCTATTAACAACAGATAACAAAGGCTTGATCGCGAAAATTAATCGTCGCGAACTAGTTTAACCTCGGTAAATCGCGAAATAAAATCGTCGGGAATAAAAGTTGGTTTACAATATACCGTATTTTTCATTAAGCCCCAAAATCAGTTTCTGCTACTGTTTAGAGCTTCCTTAACATCAGTTCTAAAATTCAAGATCAACGTTGACTAATACTTCATTATGAGTATGTGACTTCAGTTTTCTTGAATTACTGAAATATCGATGCTGATCTGATAAAAACTTGTTTTATCAACTACAACAATTTCTAAGATTATCAAGGAATTTGTGGTAAAATCTGTCAAGAAATGTTATACCAGTGATTTTACAAAATATTGTTTTCCATAAAACATAATTATTTATAGAGAAAAAATAAAAATATCTTCACTTTTGGCAGACATCTGTAAATAGAAGAAACCTGCTAGTGGTCTTCAGATAATTACACTTCCTTTTGCCAATTGATTGTATGGAACTATAATATGTATAGAGTTAACATTGCCTTCATTTGACAACAGACCGACCACTCTGCCGGCTGGGCTACATATGCAGAGGTCGTACTAAAAGTCTTGCAGATGTTAATACTTACTAGTGGCGTGCAAGCAATGCTGTTTAGTTTTGTAGAAAATGCATTCTCAAAGTTCAATTTACAAATTTAGTTTTGTAGAAAATGCATTCTCAAAGTTCAATTTACAAATAAGAGCAAAACAACGCGAAGCTTTGGGATCGTGTGTCATGGAGGGGTGAACACCTCTGTTTACTGATCAAAACTGGCATTTGTTGAAGTAAAATTCTAGACAACTCAATGTGAAAACCATGGCCCGAGAAAATGTGAAAGATGCTAGTCAACACAAGACTTAAGTCAGATTGTCTTTTCAAACAACACCACTATGCTAACAATAGAATTTGTAAAATGCTGTTTTTAAACAAGATTATTGAAATCTTTGTATCATCAACTTCATTGTCAATAGTCTGCTTCTTTTTTCAAAAAATATACAAGTTTTGAGTATGAAGGATATGGAGTGTATTCAATCTCAAAGTCCATAAAACAACACAAAATAGGAGCAGGGATCAGGTGTCATGGAGGAGTGAGCATCCCCTGCTGACCGGTCACACCCGTGTGTGCTTGTCATGTTAGGAAATAACGGAAAAATCCGTCGTCAATTCAGTGTACAAATAATGGAATAACAATTGGTATGAAAAACGTCAGTCAGCATTTGACTCATTTATAAATTGTATTTGCTGACAAGGTCATTGTATCGAGCACAGAACTTACGAAATGGTGACTTTAAATGTCAGACTGCAAATGGGAGACGCATAAATATATTCAGGTAATAAGAAATTATTGCTGCATGAAAAAGGAAAGTTTCCGATTAGTGATTAATGATTATTACTATACAAACAATTAATTAACCGAACAGAATTATTTTGACAAACAACTTATTTTTTGAAAGAATTGTCATATATTTATAAATAGCAAGTCAGCCCCCTACTAATTAAGGAGTATCAAACACAGATAGCAAGCTTACGTTGGGCCAATGTCAGCCCAACGGTGAAAAATGGCCCTCTGTCAGTTTTATTTGTTGGCCCAACATCATCTTGCTCATTCGACCAACAATTGGGCCAACATTTGAATCTTTTTTTTCTGACATTGGTTGAACAATGGCCCAACAACTTTTTGTTGGCCCAATGTTGTCAATGTTATTTATGTTGGAGAAACGTTGGCCGTACTTTGGAAATTATTTACTTATTCACTTATTTTTTAATCAGTTACACAATATGAATTCCAGTTCTGTGACATTTTTTATTTCCATAATAAGGAATAAATCACAATTAATTTATAAATCCTGCATGGATAATTAACTAGTTCTTCAAATGTTGTTTTTAATCACTCCTGTATATTGAAACAAATACATGTAACTCAAAGTCTATCCAATATATCACTACATTTACAACCACTCTTAAATGGGACAAAATGTGCAACTTTGGAATCATTCACTCCTTTTTTTCACTTGTTCATGTTATTGTTTCGTTGTCTATAAAATCCACAGTTAAATCACTCACTGCATGTCCAGTAAAATTCCATACATCAATGGTCTTGTAACAGAAAGGGTTTTCAATCTCCACCAGTTGCTATAAACGATACAAAATTATATATTAGTTTAATCAATTCACAAATAATTTGTATAAGTACTCAGATAAGTAATAATTAACTAGATTACTAATAAACTATATGAAAACTTTGGAAAGTGTAACTTAAGATTATAAAACTTGTTTAATGTTACAAATTATGCCCAAGTTAATATATTTTCATAAAACATAAACTTCCATCAATAACACATAAATCATCTATACTTACATTTCAAGAGCTAAACAATCCGTTTTCTCTTTCTTGCGTTTGCATCCTTTGTTCAAGTGTTGCAAGGATAAATTGTACCACTCCGAGTTTACCAAACAGAAAAAGGATCCAGTCACCCGCTGTGTATGTGGATTTCAACACTGACCTAATTATCTACTCTAAAATTCAGCACTTTAAGTTCCATGGTGCTAGAATATAGAATCTCCAAAATATTATTATGTGCAGAATAAAACTTCTCCATATATAACATGTATAATATATTTGCAATGGTCTTGAATAATAATAACATCAATAAGAATCATCAAAAGTACATCATATGATTTTCATATAAATAAGGTTTTGGAATAATATCGTTTTTTAGATTGATAATCAATGCATGAGTTATTAAGATTAACTCATCCTTACATAACTTTTTAATTAAATTGAGCTGTCTCTATTGAAAAAGCTTAAAATAGGTGGTTCTGAAACACAAATTTAAAAAAAAATGTGCGTAATGAACAATCACCACATGTACCTATTTGTTTTTTCCAAGATTTTCACATCTGTTGGACCAACGCTGGGCCAACGTTAGAAAAGCCCAATCAATGCCTGATTATAATCAACATTCACTTCATTTTGCCAACACTGGACAGAGCAAACACATGCCTAACACACATTGGCCATGTTTTATGTCGCCATTACTTGGTTGCTCCTTGTCATGTTAAATTATATTCAATGGTTTTAATTAAGAATATCTACTGGTTGACCTACGCTGGGCCAACGTCGAATTCCCAAATAAGTGGCCACATTTCATGCCAACATTAACTACACTGGGCCAACATTGGACTGATAATTACATGCCCAACACACATTGGCCATGTAATCATGTCAACATTACTTGGTTGGCCCTAAGATGGGCCAACATTATACATACGCAATTAATGATTATGTTCGGACCTAATGGGCCAACAGAATTATATATTGACAAACAACATTTATATGGGCCAACATTGGCCCAGCATCACATAATCAGCAGAATATCGTCATATATTTATAAATAGCACCGCTGAGTCAGCCCCCTACTAATTAGGAATCAAACATCTTTGTGAAAACGTAAACATAGACAGCTCATGAAGAAAATTTAGGGAAATGCAACACTCGAAATTTGTTTTATAACAGTTAAATATATAATTAATTATGAAATTGTAATATGATACATACCCAAATTCAGTTGCACAACATTAGGATTATTTTCAACATAAAAATCCAATCAACACAAAGGTTTTCTGACAAATTTGAAACAAGTCAAAACGCGTTGAAGTTATTAAACAGATACAAGCGGTTAAAGTATCGAACTTTTGTTGTGAAGAAATATTACGAACCATTCTGAATGGCGTTTGTGTCGTCTATTTGAGTATGAAAACAATCTATATTTAGCCAGCGATTTAAAAAT